CCTAGTCTTTCCAGGAATAGGCCTCCTAGTTGGTTATCCAATACCATGTGGTCAGCCCTAAAAATATATATACATACAAGCAGTACCTACACAGACTCAGCAGGTTGCATTTACATATTCATTCATATATTTCTATTTCATATCCATGTAACAATAATAATTAAAGAAAAATAGGTCATTAATTCGAGAATGAAGGGACATGGGAGGAATTGGAGGGAGGAGAAGGAAGAAATCATGTAATTATATTTTAATTAAGAATAAAATAAAAATTTTTAAATCTACTCAAATTCAATAAAACACAAGAGTGTCAAAGTAATTTCAGTATAAACTTTCACAGAAAACAAAACAAAACAACAAAAAACCCGCTTCACATTGAAGATGATAAAAGAGGCTGGCATGTTTTCTGCTTTTACTGACCTCACTTTTTTTGAAGACTCAGAGAGATGAAGAGGCAAGACTCCCTCATGTCTGCCTCCCAGTCCTCTTTCCTCTCTTCTCTCTCTGTATCCTGAATTCTTAGATAAACCTGCTCCCCTAGCATATCATCTACAAGTGGGATTTTAAAATCATTTTTTTACTTTGTGTGTGTGCACGTGTGTGTGTGTGTGTGTGTGTGTGTGTGTGTGTGTGTGTATGTTAGATACAAGTGGGTGTATGGGAGCCTGTGCCCATGAATGAACATGCAGAGGTTAGAGGAAGAGTCGGGTGTCTTCCTGTATTTCTCTCTGCCTTGTTCTTTTAAAACAGTTTCTCACTGAACCAGAAGCTTGCCATTTGGCTAAGCTGGCTAGCCACCAAACTCTGGAAATCTTTCTGTCTCTGATTTCCAGCTCTGGAGTTACAAGTATGCATTGCCATGGCCAGCTTTTTACACAGGTGCTAGAAATTGCATAGAAGCACACATTGATCAAGCTATCTACACAGTCTCTCTTCTTAAATTAAGGATCTAACAGAGGCCATGGGACTGCACTGGGGAGCAACATTCCTGGTCTGAGTGGCGATGTGGCATCTAGTGATTTGCAAGTATATACAAATATTAGATATACCTTTAACGAGTGATTTTGTTTCAAAGATGTGTACTCCATCATTCAGCTCTTAATGAGCAAGAATTGAGTGCTTTATTGTCTCAAGTCGAAGATATTGTAAAATACTATAAGCCACTAGAAAGAAAGAAAGAAAGAAAGAAAGAAAGAAAGAAAGAAAGAAGAAAGAAAGAAAGGAAAGAAGAAAGAAAGAAAGAAGAAAGAAGAAAAAAAGATAAGAAAGAAAAATTGTACTTACACAACCCAATACTTACTCTGAATTTCCTCACTGGTATCTATTTTGTTGCTCTTCTGTGCTATCATCTGCATATTTAAAATGTTCTATTTATTTAATGCGGTGTGTGTGTGTGCACACGCATTCACCATGGTGTGCATATAGAGGTAAGAAGATATCTTGCAGGTGTCGATTCTCTTCTTCTACCATGTGGGTCCCAGGAGTCAGCTCAGGCCATCAGCATCTTTAACAGCTGAGCCACCTCACTTACTCTGAGGCCTTCCAAGTCTGGAATAAGTCTTCTACTTTTGTACTGGGCTTTCTTAACCTTAACAGAAGGTGTCAACAAAAGCTTCAAGTAGCCCCAGGAACGCAATTGTAAAAGCAGTTAAGTACAACCCAGGTAGCATAACCTGAATTACCTCCCTTGCCTTGTTACTTTATATCTTCCTTGGCCATGGAGGAGGCAGTTTCAGACCAATTACTAATTTGGGTTCTAGTCACATAAGAACATGATGAGGTATCTGAAAAAATGGCTTAGTAAAGTACTTGCCACACAAGCGTGAAGACCTGAGTGCAGATCTGAAAACACATGTAAAACACCAGGAACAGTGGCATGTCCCTGCAATCCCAGTGCCAAAACGGCAGAGACAGGAAGGTCCTAAGGCAGTGATTCTCAACCTGTAGGTCATGACCCCCCGTAGGGGTCACATATTAGATATCCTGTATTTCAGATGTTTGACATTACAATTCATAACACTAGCAAGATTACAGTTATCACATAGTAACAAAATAATTTTATGCTTGGAGGTCACCACAACATGAGGAACTGTATTAAAGGGTCACAGCATTAGGAAGGTTGAAAAGCACTGTGCTAAGGCTTGACGTCCAGACACTAGCTGAATCAACGAGTTCCACTTTCAGTGAGAAGCTCTGTTATATCTGCACACTTTCTCATACACACATGAACACATACATAAGCAAATAACACATATGCACAAGCATGCAAAGACAACCACGGTGAATGAGAAACAGCAGCAGCGGCTGGATTAAGCAGCCTATTCTGATGATGCCCAGACGAAGTAGTAGTAACAGAGTAAAGATGCTCAACTTTCATGGTGGCTGAGGAAAAAGAGAAAGAGAATGAGAAAGAGAAAGGGGAAGGACCCCGGGTCAAGAACTCCCTAACACACTCCCTGAGATCTACACCATCTAGCTGGCCCTACTCCTAAAAGTTGTCACTACTTCACAGTAATGCCACCAAATTATGAATCCACTGGTAGATGAACTCACTGATTACATTGACTCTCTCATGATCCAATCTTTAAGCCTTTAAAACATGATCCCATTGAGGGCACTTAACACCCAAACCATAAAACCCATCTGTCATAGTTATAATACTCTAAGACTTAGATCTCAACATATGCTTAAAAACTAAAGGAAGGAAATTGGCACCCTCTGTATAATACCTTGTTTTCCTGTATTTGTTTCTGTCACAAAAGCTTCATCATGAAAAGGAGGAAGCTCAAACTGAAGTGAGTTACAAACTTCATTCCCATCACAGGACTGTGGCTTGGCCTTGAGGTGAGGTAAGATTTGACAGTCCTTCCAGATGAGACTATGGACGGCTGCAGGGTCACATTGCTCTGGGCCTTTCCTCCTTTCTGTTCTCTCCTCCTTTCCCTTCTACCTACCACCCTCTCTCCTGAGGATTCCATGTGCCAGGATACTTTCTACAATGGTCTAAAATGTGTATTATATTTATGTGTATGGAAAGCCAGAGGACTACTAATTGTTGGTTCTCTCCTTCTACCAGGTGGGTTCTGAGGAGAAACTCAGGTTGCCATGGTGGCAGTAAGTGCCTTTACCCACTGAACCATCTCATCAGCGCCTTTGCAAGCTTCTGTAGTAGAGGCATGTGAACTGATAAGACAGCCTGGGCTGACAGGTGGTGATAGTAATCAACAGAAGCTGTCCTGCCTCCTTTGGGCATTCCCACCTCTTCTCTGTCCTGCCAAAGCATCAGGACCAAATTGTTTAGGAAGAGAAGGGAGAGGGATATTTTCTGTATTATTTTTCTCCTGCCCTTTTCTTTTCTTCCCATTATCCCAAGCCCTCTCACTATTGCCACGCCAACACCTATCTTTCCAAGCACATAAGGACAGATTTCACATTAGGCAACAGCCATGAGATCCTCTAGTCAGAATAGGAGGGTCTGAATCCTTGTTTATTAGATGCAAACTGTGTGATGATGGCAAAGTTACTTTCCCTTTCTGAGCCTTAGCTGTATGCTCTATGAGTATAGTTCAAATTAAATGTTTAAATGAGTTGGGGCATGCAAAATTTTTATTACTTAGTCCATAGAAGCACTAATTAATTTTATTTTTCATCATCTCTATTTTAAGTAATGGTGGGGGTTGTCGTGGCTTTTTGTTTGTTTGTTTGTTTGTTTGTTTGTTTGTTTGTTGAGACAGGGTTTCTCTGTGTAGCCTTGGCCATCCTGGGCTCACTTTGTAGACCTTGGTAGACTAGGCTGGCCTCAAACTCATAGAGATCTATTTGCCTCTTCTTCCCAGAGTTCTGGGAGTAAAGGTGTACACCCGGATCTGTCTTTGATTCCCCCACCCCCTTGAATACACTTTTTGGGAATCTTGTTTTTCACACTTTAGTTTCTACGGACTGATGTTTGTGCTGCACCATAGCTAGGTGGTTAATTTCTGGGCTATTTCAATCTTTCAGTCTCTTCACTCTCTGGCTCATCGTGACTGATTTTATCTTCACTGTGAGCATATTTTAAGAAACTACAAATGGAGCCACTGAGTTGCTAAGTAGGAAGCTGACAGGGAAAACTGTGCTAAGAAGTGGAATTGCACAGCTTGCTGTGGCCCAGGCCATGTGCGCAGGAAAGCTGGAGCCCTGACTGGAGGCTTGCTGAAATAACCTTAGGATTTACCGTTTTTCTTGGACTCTGAAGAAAGGGAGTCTCTGAGGAATGATTGTGGTTGTGACTTACATTTCCTTAATGCTCAGTGATGGCTACTGTCTTTTAGCTTTGGACCCTTTGCATAAATTCTTCACAGAAATGTGTATTTCAGTAGAAAGAATAATCTTTTGAATGCATGTCCACATAAATTCGTGGGTTCTGCTTCTTCCCTTCTTACAATCATTTTTGATGGTGGACAAAAGGTGAAATCAGTAGCATAGAATCATTGTTTTCTGTTGAAGCTGTCTTCAGAGAAGGAGAGCCCAAGTTATGTATCAGGGCATGAACTGTCACTGATTACATGTCACTGTTTACCTCCATAACAAGAGCTGAGGCTCAGTCACAAGTGAGGTATGGAAGTGCCCTTTAACGCACTTTTGACAGCTTTACACAAATGGGCATGTGATCCCCCATGATTGATTAATTAGGAGGATAGAAAATAGTGGTTTGTGGTAGGAGGCATGTGCTGCCTTCCTTCCCGCCCTAGTAAGTATTTCCAGCTACACATCCTGTCACTCTGTATGGCTGGTGTCTGTACTCCCAGACAACTTTTCTGTTTACTGTCTGTCACCCCCTGAAGTGTAAACTGCCACTTTGTATGTACCTATAATGCCTGGCATATGGAGTCAAGTGTATTACAGATTTGATAAAAAAAAACTTTCTCGGTTAATAGGTAAAAGAGGCAGTGTAACTATGACCTTCTCTGTGTATTCATTAATTTGTTTTCCATTCTCTCACTTTTCTGATGTTTCATGTCAGCATGATGAAGAAGAACAAGAACTCAGTGGATGAGCAAGATGCCCTCTACATCCCACAGTCTCACAGTCTAGGACATCTTAGGAATATATTGGATAGAGGAGAGTATGCACCTTTTCTAGCTCCTCCCATATTGGAGAGCAATTTTACTCAGGTAAAAAGTGCTTACACTCTCAATTAGGTTATAGTAACGTCCATATTTCTCAAAGACAGTGAAATGTTGAGAATTGTTTGAATGTGATGAGGGACAGTAGGATATTACTAAAGGGAACAGTTTTGTAACTTTAAACAGCCCAAAATAATGAGTATTGCAGGGAAATTCACTTTAGATATTTCCAACAAACCCGTAGGCAAGAATTCTGTCCCAATTCTACTATAATTGTCATTCTAATATAATCTTAATGTTACACAAAATGATTTTTAGAACATACTATCACAGGAATGTATTCAGATCATTTATTTCTTGGAGTTTTATTTTTTCAAATTACATGTATTTATTTCATGTTTTTCGTGCATGTATGTTTGGTTGTGAGGTACCATGTAGATGCTGGTAATTGAACCCAAGTCCTCTGTAAGAACAGCAAGTGCTCTTAAAAGCTGAGCTATCTCTCTAGCCCCTTGACCTATATATATTTTTTAATTTTTTAACTTTTTACAATTTATTCATTGTATATCTGATTGTAGCTCCCGCCCTCAACTCCTCCCAGTTCCACCCTTCCTCCCTCCTTCTTCCCCTCTATCCCCTAACCCTAGTCCACTGAAAAGGAGAGTTCTCCTCCTCTGCCATCTACCCCTAGCTTATCAAGTCTCATCAGGACTGCCTGGATCCTCTTTCTCTGTAGGCTGTAAGGCCACATCGACAGGAGAAAGTGATCAAAGAGCCGGCAACAAAGTTCATGACAGAGGCAGCCCCTGCTCCCCTTACTCAGGAACCCACATGGAGACTGAGCTGACAATCAGTTACATCTCAGCAGGGGGTCCAGGTCCTCTCCATGCATGGTCCTTGGTTAGTGCATCAGTCTCTGCAGGACCCCGTGGGCTTGGATTTTTTTTTTTAAAGAAAAAAACCTAGGGCTGGAGATGATCTCAAAGGAAGAACCTTGCCTAAAATGCACAAAGCCTTGGTTTCAGTCCCTAGAGCCAGGTAGACAACCACCTCAGAAAAGCTATGAACTAAAATAAATCTTACATGTTCTGAAAGGGACTAGAGGTGCCATGGTTCATTTCCCCCCTTGTTTTCTGACCTTCCTTATACTGCTCTAGCAAGCAAGGGTGGTAGATCCATGCCTTTTTACCAAGAAACTCCTTTGCTGTTCTCTACAATCAGGTCAATCGGAGAGGTGAATCTATTTATGTGCATAACCGAGCAAACTGGGTGACCGTAGGCATCTGTTCTTCCAATCCCATGTTCAAGACCCCCAATGTGATGCTGCTTGCACATCTGACTCCAGAAGCTCAAAAAGAACCAGAGCCCCTCTTTAAAAGCCTCCTGGCGTATCCCCCTACAGAGAATCTGGTGCTCACCAGGTGAGTTACAAGGGCAGGAGGACAGTAATCTCTCTCGTGCTCTCCCTCTCTCTCCCATAGGGCTGAAAGTGAAAATGCTGATGGCAAGTGTTCCCGAGGAGCACTTCCGGTGCATGACTTTCTCAAATGACTCAGGGTGTCTCTAAGAGCATCCAAACAATGCTTTATGACTATGCCACTCAAAATGACAATTAAGTTTAAAAAAAAAAAAACAAAAAAACAAAGTAATGAGCACTGGAGAGTCAATAGACTGCCTCTCAAGAACATGTTTTTCCTCCCCATCATACCCTCACTTGTGTCAGAGTTCTTTCTGACCTCATCTCAGCCACTAACTTGGTCTATGATCTTGAGCAAGAAACTTAATTTAGGCCTCATTTTTAGACAACTTTATCACTATATATATTTGTTGTACAAAATAATGGGCTTCATTATGATATTTTGAAACATATACATATAAAATGTATGTTTATTTTCATATATGTGCATTAAGTACCTTGACCATATTCTTCCTTTATTATATCCTCTTTTGTCCCCCAACCCCATAACATTGGGCTTCTTTCTCATATAGTCCTCTTTTCCTTTCATGACTGTTATGTCTGTGTAATCACGTCTGTGTGTGTGTGTGTAAAAGAGAGAGTCTGTGTCATGGGTGTCATGGCATACATGTTGACATCAGAGGGCAACCTCAGGTGTCAGTCATCAACCTTCTACCTTGCTCAGAGACAGGATCCCCCTTGCTCACTGCTGTGTACACAGCACTAGCTACTCCAGGAGCATCCAGGGATTTTCCTTTCTCCGCTTGCCATTTCCCAGTAAGGGCAAGCTATGATTACAGATACTTGAAATACTGTGCCTGGCTTTTATCTGTTCTGAGAATCCAAAATTAGGTCATCAGGCTTACATAGCAAGTACTTTACCTCCCCACCTTCCTTTTAAAAATCCATATTCCTCATGAGAGAAGACATGTTACTTTGGTCTTTCTGAATCTGGCTTAGTTCATTTAACATGCTCTAGTTTTGGATATTTTCCTGCAGATAACATGGCATTATTCTTTATGGATGAATAAAGCTTCATTGCATGTATATACCTTTTTTTAATCTATCCATCTGTGGGTGGTCCTTGGTCTGATTCTGTAACTTGCCTGTTGTGACCAGTGCCCTAAAAACCACGGGCAAGCAGGTACCCCTTTTGTATGATGACTTGGATTACTCTGAATGTACATATCCAGGAGCGGTGTTGCTAGTTCATATGATAGTTTTGGCTTTTTAAGAGGAACCTCCACACTCATTTCCATAGTGACTACACTAACTTACACTCATGCCAACAGTACATAATAAAGCTTTCCATTTTCTCCTGCATCATTGCCAGCATCTGTTGTTTTCTTTATGGTAGTAACCATTCTGACTGGGATGATATGAAATCTCAATGTAGTTTTATTTCAATCCTTAGACATCTAAGTTTCAACACTGATTATATTTTATCTTTTATTTTAGTGTGTGTGTGTGTGTGTGTGTGTGTGTGTGTGTGTGTGTATGTATCCACAAATCCAGTATCTGAAGACTTAACATTTTTAGATTCAGTCTGTCCTTCTTTACCATGTGAGCTCCTGGGATTGAACTCCGGTCATTGAGCTTGGCTTGTAGGCATCTTACCCTCATGAGCCATCTCACCAGCCCTTCACCTCACTTTTAGGATTAATTAGAATGGGCAGTTCCTCACGATAAATGACATTCTGATCATTTAGTAACACCAGAGTCTTAGACACATGATTAACATGAAATGACTCTCAGGAGCTTTCACTCTCACCTATTTGGGATACAAGGTCATTGACTGTCTCATTCTCCAAGCTGTAAAAGTGTTTTTATAGTTCTCCAACTGGGTCTTTGTATGATGTTTCGTTTGCATTTGTTTGTAGGTTTCTCCCTCTGCAGTTTGTGACTCTTTCTGTGCACAGTGCTAAGAACATGTGCCTCAAAGTAAAGCTGATAAACGGCCGCGCCTACTATTTACAGCTCTGTGCCCCTGTGAATAAACAGGACACCATATTTTCTCAGTGGGTGGACCTCATCTCCCTCCTGAGTCAGGAGAAATTTAGAACTTCCAGACTATCAGAGGTCTCAAGCCTCTCAGAACTAACAAACAGCACAGACATCACAGGCTCAATGAACATCATGGACATTACCGCTTTCACAGAGCTGCAGACCATTCACTCGCAGGCGCGCATATACTCTGGTAACGTCATGGAAAGTGCAGACTTCTCAGAATTTACTGATGTCACTGATATCACAGATGTCACTGATGTCACAGATATCCCGGAAAATGGGGTCACAGAGGTTCCAGATATAAAAATTGTCACAGAAGTCACAGAAGTTATAGAAGCTGAAGAGTCCACAAACCTATCAGGGGTCACAGTAGTATTTGAAAATGACGATATAAAAAAGGCCAAGCAGGAGGAAAAGGTATGTATTGTGGAATATTTCATTCTTTAGTGATCGAGCATGAGAGCTGAAACCATATTCTTCGTTAACACTGATGAGAAATGCTAAAGAACCAACTCACAGTAACATGGTTTTAACAATGGGCTCAATCCCTGAGCCCAGTATAAATCATTAGATATTCTCTGAAATAGTGACTATTCTCCCAGTGTCAGAAAGTGGCAGTGTGACAGGAAGAACGTGGGTGTCAGAATCTGAAGGCCTGGGTTAGAACCTTAAACCTACATATATTACATACATGGCAGGCTGAACTGCCAAAGCTGTGCAAGATGTGATGTCATCACTCCTAAGGTGAGAGAATACTTAAATGTGAGAATGGACTGACAAGTCAATGAAAAAAGGTGATGGCAGAAATTAGAACATAAAAAAAGTTAATGACTTTAGAAAAAGCCAGGAAGTACCAAAGGAAAAAAATAGAATGCACTATGAAATTCACTCGTAAATCCTGAGTACCACATTAGGAAGTGAGGACTCAGCAAACTTTGAGTTAAGTAACAGAGCTTTTTCTAGATCAAAATTACAGGTTGAAGAGATGGAACAGCAGTAGAAAGCACTTCCTGTTCTTACAGAAGACCCAAGTTCAGTTCCCAGAACCCACACCTACAGTTAACAATGGCCTATAACTCCATCTCCAGGGAGCTGATGCCCCTGTCAGCCTCCACAGGCACCTGAACACGTCTCCCCACCCTGCTCTCTCACACAAACACAAGCAGACACAGAGAGAGAGAGACAGAGACAGAAAGAGAAATTAAAATATTTTAAAATATATTAATCTGGTGGCATGATGGATTATAGAGATAGATCAATTTGAAGACGAGTGAAAAATCTGTGCTAGATCCTTGATACAAACAAGATGATGGTTGAGGACAGACATTTCACAAAGGAAACCACTCATAAGTAATAGTAAATAATAGCAAAGTAATGAAAGTATGAGAACAGCCTAAATGTCTGCCTAGGTCAGCCAGGCCAACTCAGAACTACCAAGAGCAAGTCCCATTCTTACTCATCTTGTTTTAGGGGCTCCCAGAGCATCTGTCAAGCTCACATCAAAAGCCTGTTACACAAATTAGTGTTGTGTGCTTGTTAAAATTGTTCAAAAATGTTTCCTGGCCTGAAATGATGTTCATAATGTACAACTGAGGAAAAATATGATCTCTTGGATATAGAAGTCCATTGATACATACACACTAAAAGAAAAAACAGGGGCTGGGGAGATGGCTCAGTTGATAACTGCTCACTGCACAAGAATGAGGACCTGAGTCTGATTCCTGGCACCCAAATAAAAAGCTGGCCATGGTGGCACACACTTGCAACCCCAGCACCAAGGATGCAGAGATGGACAGACTCCCTAGGGCTCACTGGCTAGCTTGTCTAACCTAGTCAGTGAGGACCAAGTCCCATCGAGAAACACCATCTCAAAAGATAAGGTAGAGAGAGAAGATGCCCATGTGTATGTCTGGCCTCCACGAGGACATTGCACACACATGGACATGCACTTGAACATATACGTGCACACACACATATACACGCATGCACACACATACATACACATACTGTGAAGAGCAGTTTGTCTCTACATTGAGGGAGTATGTGCAGTCGATACCTTATTTGCGCCTCTGAATTCTGTTTCCTATGCTATAGGTAAATACTTTAAATAGGAAATATCCAAATAGCTTGTCACAGTTTTTAGTGACAGGAAGGAAATTCTGATGGTAATTTTTCCCAGGCCTGGTGGCACAAGCCGTAACCACAGCTACTGAGAGCATCAGAAGCCTGTGAGCCCGAGGCCTGCCCAGACCACAGGATGAGCTCTAGACCGGCCTAAGAACTTTGTGAGACCTCAGCTCAAAAAAACCAATCCTCAGTGCTGTAATAAGTACACAGATGTAAAATGTTAGACTACAAGTGTAGGTGACAGTTTCAAAACGCAAAGTGAAAAGTCGGATGGAAATTAAGTGTGGCAGAGGAGCCATTGTTTCTGGGCAGTGTTGCCAGGCAAGGAAGCATTTCCTAGTTTCCACTTCATTCCTCAAAGGATCTTCTTTTTATGTGTGTGGATACTTTGCTTGCATGGATGTTTAGGCACCATCTGTGCAGTGCCTATGGAGGCCAGCAGAGAGCATTGGATCTCGGGGGACTAGAATTTCAGACAGTTGTGAGCCACATATGGGTGCTGAGAATTGAACCTGGGTCCCCTGGTATAGCAGCTGGTGTTCTTAACCACTGTCTCTCCAGACTCCCCTTACAGTCTCTTAAGTTGTCTATAGTAAACCCACATTATTTTCATTGTAAGAAAAAAAAAAATGAAGTTTTCTCTTTGGACACTAGATTACTGCATAGTCTTTCTTTGGTTTTTTTTCTTGTTGTTGTTTTGGTTTTGATACATATTTATACCTTGCTATAGTAGTCCAGATTGTCCTTGAATTTGCAGTTCCTGCTGGAACTGCAGGAATGTGCCTCTAGGTCCAACAGTACTAGAATGGACCAGTACTGGCTGTGGGAGGAAGAAAGGCAGACATGAAGAATGTTAGAGACACAGGTATGGAATTCTCTGAATGACTGTACTGAGGCCCACATGAGGCATTTTGACCATTCTGATGTGATCACTGAGAGACCTGGAGAGGTGGTATATGACAGAAAGACAATAAAAGCACAGGAGGGGTTTTAGAGAATTGCATTTTAGATTAGGCTGAAATTCTTGAAAAACATCATCATCATTATTATTATGAGCCCCAAGTCCCCATTACCTATCAGATGCTCCTAAGAACAACCTGACAGAAGAGTGGATGGCAAAAGATTTCTAGAAAACCTTCCTTAGCCTGTAATTTGAAGATAAGTGTTGTCATTAGACACTAACCGTCTGGTGTGAGGTGACGCTGGTGTATGGCACTCAGACCTGAATGTTCTGCATCAGGCCACAGTGGCACAGGCATCAGGCACGTTTCCATGCCACCAGCCTCCACACTTGCCCAGACTCTTCTCCATAGCCATGCAACACTATTCCTTGCTCCCTGTCTCTGGACATGTGAGCACTCAGTAAGTATGATGAAATGACCAGAAACTGCTCCATAAACAATGTTTCTACATGATGTTCTTCTGTTATCTGATTTGCCCCTGCTTGTTATCTCCCAAGGAAAATATCCTGAAGCATGGGTGTCTACGAGATACAAAGAGTAAGAATGAGTTCAGAGAATCCCCCAAACATGTTACCATCTCAAACCTAACACTGACTTTTCAAGGGGAAAGGTGTTTTCAGACAACTCTGACGCCTATAAAAAGCGAGAACATACCCAATGAAACGCGAGATAAAACCTCTGAAGAAAAGATGACTGATCTTCGAAATGCACAACTCAAGGCCACAGAATCCAGGTCAGTAGCATGGGAAAGTGCTGTGGGCATTCTAGGGTGTACACCATGTACACAGAGGTATGCTTGCTTCCCTGCAACTCAGGCATTTGTCTCTGAAGATTCCCAGATAGATACAACGTGACAGAATGATGATGTAGGCACCTCTTAGCCATCCATTTTTGGCTCAGCCTTGACTAATCTTTATTTCCATACCAGTGTCTTGTGCTACTCAGCTGGTATTCTGGCTGTTGGCCTAATGCCAAAAGCATGTGTTTCAAGAAATAAGCAGAAGCACAGGGCTCATATTTGGGAGCTTGGAGTGTTGACTTCTAGAAAAATGGTGGGCACTTTTATCTCTATACTTACCTACACTTTCCTCTACAGAGCCTCTATATATCCCTTACACATCTCTGTACTTCCAATTATATGAAAACAACTATTTTCATTAATACCTCTATTGCAAACCGATTGCAAACTAAATGTGAGCAGAGAGAGCCACAGCCACTTCCGCATTCTTATCCTGTCTGTTCTAAACAAGCTAGCCAGGGTTACATAGTGAAACCTTGTCCAGTGTCCTCTTCTGGACTCTGAGGGCACCTGAATTCATGTGTGCACAACCCCCCTCTCCCAACACACACATATACAAATTTTTAAAATAAGAAAAACAATAAATTAATAAAAAATAAGTAACACGAGTCTTTAAAAAAGAAAAAGTATCTACAGTAAGCTACAACAAAGATCAATTCTTTAATCATCAGCTATGTTCAAACTGTGACTTCTTCCCATCCTGCTATAGAAATAAAGCCCCATTGTGTGTGTGTGTGTGTGTGTGTGTGTGTGTGTGTGTGTGTAATGAGCTCTTTTAGCTTGTAAGTCCTCAGTTCTGCAAACTTTATTTCTCCTAGTGAGTGTATGCTGTGTCCCAGGTGACTTCCTGATTAGCCCTTCTTTAGTGCTCATATGGATCACCTGTAGGTTTTAATTTCAAGACACTATGCCCCAATAATTACTTTCCTCTTTTGGTTGTATCCTTGATATGTATTTTTACAAGTCAAGGGGATTTATTGTGTGGATCGGCAGTTGGTTGCAGGAAAGCTCCCCCCCCCACACACACACAGCATGAGTATAACAGCTATCCAATGAGAAGCAACTGAAAACTGCTTAACTTGTTTTTTCCCCTTATTGTGTTTACACTTGTTTATTCTGTGTTTGTATGCTAATGTACGGAAGTCACTAGGTTCTCTCCTTCCATCTTGTAGGTCTCAAGGGTCATCGTTAGGGTTGGTGGCATGTGCTGAGCCATCTTGAAGGCCCAAAGCATATTTTCCAAGTGTGTGTCTGTCTTCTGAAGTCAAGTTACTGTTTCTATCTTGAAACAATTTCACTGGAAATTTTATGAATTGTCATCAGTTACTTAGAAAGATAATATTTTTCTTTTCCCATTTTGCTTATATCTATATAAGAATATTATGCAAAATGATTTATTGGCAGATATTTGTAATTATTAGGCAGATTCTCTCAAAGATTCATACTTTAGTTGTCGGCCCAAGTGTACCCACCTACACACTTTTTCTTTTTTGTCTTCCTTAAATCACTGCTTTGTCTCTCTTTGTCCCTCTCACCATCTCAAATTTATTCACAGCACATTCCTAGCTGGCATAATACATTTTGTTTGTTTATGATCTGCCTCCTCCACCAGAATAAAGCACTTCAAAAGACAGGAACTTGATTGTTTTTACTGTTTATTCCCTGTTCTGAATGTATACGAGGTGCCTGGTAAATATTATCAAGCAAATGAATCATACTTTGCCACTGAACATTACTTTTGTTGCTTCAATGAACAACAAAAAAAGAGAACTCTCCTGTGTAAGTGAGGCAATGATATAATTTCCTTTTCTTCTAGCTTATTTTAGTTTAAAAATCATATATTTTTCCATCTTGTTTTGTTGGTTACAGAATAAATCTGTAACATTTCCTTTTGCTTCTCCATGCTTCTTTTGAACTCAGGTCAGTTTGAATCTACTTTATACGTGTTAAACTTTGTACTGATATCTTTGGGGAAAGAGTGCTGGGGATCGAAGCAGAAACTCACACATGCTAATAGTACAACTTTACACTAACAGATGTTTCCCATCTTGAAGGTTTCATAATTCCATTTGTATAGGTCTAGGTCTCTTAGGGCCCTCACTAAATATTTGAGTTTTTAATTTTTTTTCAATTATCTTTTTTTGTTTAGTGTGTGGGTGAGGATGTGTACATGTATTTTATAGTCAAAGGAAAACTGTCAACTCCAACTTGGAACTTGCTATGTAGACCACATAGCTCTGAAAAGAAATCTACCTGTCTCTGGCTCTCAAGTGCTGGATTAAAGACCTACAGCACCACACCTCATCACACCACACACATCATCATCATCATCATCATCATCATCATCATCATCATCATCATCATCGCTTAGTTCTTATGATTTTTATAAATCATAAAAACTTATGATTTTTATGGGGTGGGACAAGGAATGAATGTATCAGGATGCATGTGTGCAGGTCATAGGACAACTTGTGGGAATTGCTTCTCTCTGGGGATCAGACTCAAGTTTTCAGGCTTAGCAGCAGGCGCCTATAACCTCTGAACCATCTCACCAGCATCCTTGTTTTGTTGTTTGTTTGTTTGTTTGTGTTTTTGGTTGATTGGTTGGTTAGTTGGTTTTTGAGACAGGGTTTCTCTGTGTAGCTCTGGCTGTCCTGGATCTCACTTTGTAGACCATGTTGGCCTCGAACTTGGAGATCTACCTCTGACTCCCACCCAGCCCGGATCCTTCTCTAGAGTATGAGAGGGATCTGGAGACAGCTAATGCCCTTGATGGAGGGCATCATATTCCCTGGACCTGGAGTTACAGATGGTTGTGAAATCTCTATGTGTGTGCTGGGTTTTTTGGGAAAAAAAAAAAAAATTAGCCAATGCTCATAACTCATGAGCCATCTCTCCAGCCCCAAAGGGAGCTGAGAAGGAACATTCATTTCTCTCTTTTTGTTTTTTTGAGACCAGGTCTCACTATGCAGCCCTGACTGTCCTAGAACTCCCTATGTAGACCAGACTGGCCTCAAACTCAGAGATCCATCTGCCTCTGATTCTCAAATGCTGGGATTAAAGATATGCCACCAGTGCCCAGCTGGGTTTTTGAATTTTTTTTTTTTTTGTAAAAAATAAAAATTACAAAGATAACAGTATGAAAAGTGCTCTGTAGTCCCAGGTTTTGTTAGTTCCACTATATGATGAACTGTGAATTCCTACATAAGCAGCAAAATAATGGAATTTTAAAATACAAAGACACTGTAATTTAGCAAATCTTAAACTCTTCAAGGCTTTCCCCATTAGCTTTCTATGCATTAATCTACTAACTACTAAGAAGAAATTAATAAGGGAAAAAAACGAAACTAAATTTTTATTCTAAGTAATCCTCTTGAGGTTTTGTCCCATGGGACATAGTTGTATGAAGAATAGTTTTGGAAAGCCATGGGCTCCTTTCTGCTGCCTGTTTGCACTGGGAAAAAAATTAGTAGCTAGTGTCTAATTTGAGAATGCTAATTTCAAAGGAAAGATGTAATATTTTAAGAATAGAATGGAATTCCCCTACTCTTTATTCCAGGGGCATTTGTGGGATTCAAGCAGGAAAGTGAGGTTGACAAATACATTATATATATATGGAGGAAAGGAGGTGGGGAAAGAATATTATTGAGTAGACATAACTTTTTTAAAAAGATTTGTTGATGTTATTTATATATATGTTATTTTCCCCCTAAGACCATTAATTCCAGGGACAGTTTATAATTGTTTGTTCTGGAGTGCAAAATTTTTTAAAAGCTAAACGGTGACCTTGCTGAATAGTGTGCTTCTCTGGGCACTGCTGTTTAAAATGCAAAGTAAGCAATTTATCCCATGTGGAATAAAGAGAAAGGAACCAAGCTTTTCTCCATTGTCACAGGGGGTCTTAGAGTGATGAAGAACTTACTTCATTGAAAGTCTTTCATATACAAAGTGCTGCTGTAACCCTTTGTTTTGACCAGGATAACAGGTCTATTTTAATTTGCACCTGTTTTGTAAGGCACATTCTCTTTGTATTGTCTCTTGACAATTTTTGTCATTAATCTCTGCCTTCAATCTAAATCATCAGACCTATTGGCACAGCTATGTGAATCCTTTTTTGGGAAATTCCAGAGAATTAGTACTTTAAGTCTAGTTCCTGAAAGATCCATTGTAGAACATAAAGTGAATGTATCTGCCTAACCCCTTGCAGGAGTCCTAACCGCCTCTATAAGATTACATAGGTAGGGAAAGTCTAAGGGTAACTCTTCAACAGATTCTCCTGCGCCCCACCAAGAGGGGAGCACTGGGCAGCAATGGGTGGAAATGCCAGCAGCCTGTGACTGGTGAGAAATGGAATAACAGCAGACTTTATGCTATTACCTACAATCTGATTTTGCGGCTTTTCTGAGCTGAATAACCTGCAAATAAACAATCTTACCCTGGTACAATCAATAACAGTCTAGGCTTGTTAAGCACAGCTCATTACTACTCACAATGCATTTGGAAAATGACTAGTTATCTCAGACCCAGCTATTCTCTTCTAAATATCTGTGGTCATGGTGGCAACTCTTTGAAATGTGCTGTTTATTTTCACAGGAGTACAGGAGCGGATTCAGACACTACAGGTAAGGAACAAATTCCAAGACACGTTTTATTGTGCTCTTCAGAAGACAAGAGTCATTCAGGGTTCTTGGAACAGTAAATGGTTAGGAATAAAGGGCTCCAGCTCGACTTTCTGATGCCTTCCCATTCTAAACACTACACTGGAGAGACTCTACCAAGCCCATCTTCAGACTCTTTCAAATGTGTGGGTCACATTTGACTTCCCAGTTCCCTGAGTCTAATCCATTAGGCATGACCCTCTCCAAGGTGAGCTCTACAGGTGGATCCAACCCACAGCAGCAACAGAACCTCCTATTCATGTGTACTTTTGGAGAATATTTTTGGTAAATTAAAATCACTCAACTCCCCCTTTCTTCCCACTAGTATCTTTAGCCTAACACTCACTGAAGGGTGACTTGTTTAATGTTTAGGTATGGAGATTTCCTCTCTGCACATTCCCATGTCTTAAAGGATCTTTCACTTCTAATAACAAACGTGTGACCAGGAAGTTGTCATATAGGATAACAGGAAATTGTGCCCTTTGCTGACTGCTGACTCACCTCTAGCTACCACTCTCCAACCTGTGAGCTGGAATAAGCCTTGGCTACATCGTACTCATAAAAATATACAATGGAAAGAACACCGAGGAATATTTAACTTGGTTTAAGTGGAGAGGAAAAAAAATGACATGTGAAGACATTTGTAGTCCTATTTAAAAGAGTCAGTTCTACCAAGAAAGGAGGTGGGGAAAGAATATTATTGAGTAGACATAACTTTTTTAAAAAGATTTGTTGATTTTATTTTATGTATTTGAATGTTTTGAATGTATGTACACCATGTGTGTGCATGATACTGGGAAAGTTCAGAAAAGGGCATCAGATGCCCTTGGAACAGCTGTGAGCCATGAGGTGAGTGCTGGGAACTGAAACAGCAACAAGAGTTCTTAACCACTGAGCCACCTGTCCAGCTCAATATAGTATAGAGTTTTACACAAGTGGGGTTTATTTTTATATTTTCTCGTTGGGCATCAGTATCTAAAATGCCCACTGAGCTTCACCACAACGTGGGATCTGTGTCTGACTACAGTGTTGAACCAGAGAGCACCATAGAGAAATGCACTTCTGTAAAGAAAATGCAAGATGGGGACTGGAGAAACAGCTCAGTAGTTGAGAATGTCTGTTACTCTTTCAGAGGATTCCAGTATGATTCCTAGTTCCTAGGTTAGGCAGCTCACAACTGCCTGTGATTCAAGCTATAGGAACTCTGATACCTCTGGCCTCCATGGGCACACACATGGCATATACTCTCTCACACACACACACATACACATTACAAATAAGAAAATGCAAGATCTCCCTTTTAGTTTGTAGAATTTTCACTCATCAGCTTCCACCACTAACTATATTTTGTATAGAGGTCAAGACACTAAAGTTTTAGAAACTGCAGAGTTAGCCTGTTCAAGTAACACAAACAAGTGTCCTTCTTGCCTTTATCCTCCTTGGTTGCTAAAGGCAAGGTCCATCTAATGACAGCCTGTCTGCTAATAAGTGTCACCAACTTGCCACTAAAGATAGAGACAGAACTAGGTTTAGTCAGCTATGGATGCGTCCAGTTCATGCAGGGTACTAATATGGTTGTCTTTATCTGACATGTGACTGTCTTCTATAAACACAATGTTTTTCAACTGCACAAGCACATTAGTGATGCTTATGTATTTTATATGAAGTACTTTGGCAGATGCAGGAGAGATTAGACAAAAATATCAGGCAAGTTAACTGCTGTAAGACTGTGTTAGCCAAAGAGAAGCCACTGAAAGACAGAGAAGTGGTAATGTTCGCATCAGATTTTAAGATGGTTCTCTATGGACTAAATTTCTGAGAGAAGTTACAGAAAGAGCACAGAAAGAGCAAGTAGGAAGTTTTCCTAACAGTCAAGGTGGGGGATGTTAAACAGTCTTTAACAGAAGCAGTCAGAAGTAAAACAAGGATATGTATATATAGTCAGAGTCACTATTGACAGAGGCTGGCACTAAAGTACTTGAAGCATGAGGATATCAGTTCAATCCCTAGAAGCCACATAAAAAGCTGGCTGTAGCAGTAAATACTAGTAATCCCAGCACTAGGCAGAGACTGGAGGATCCCGGCAGCCACTGATCAGCCTAGCTGAATCTGCAAGACCCAGGCCATGAGAGGCTGTCTCAAAATCAAGGCAGACATCTCCTCAGGAGACACCTGAGGTTGTTCTCTGGCCTCCACATGTACACATATGCACACATACACTTACATACATGTGCAGCCACGACACATGTGTGCACACACAGAATCATTGTCAGTCTGCCTGTAGAAACAAGAGACAAGGACAATTTGGGAGACAGTATGACTAGGATATATAAGTCCATGAAACAATCTAAAAAAGGGAGTCAGAGGGAATATTGAAATGCTGAAAAAAAGGCAGTTGAACACTGACGCTGAGTCATAGGCCACAGGCTTTAGTTCTAACCCTACTTTCTCCATTACATGAAAGTGTCATTTAACTTCCTCTGTGTATGGCTGGGCTGTTGGGCTGAGGAGTTTTTTGACAGTTATTATTTTGACAGTTATGATTCTAAAAGCTAATAGCTTGTATTGCTGATAGCCCATTTCTGTAAGGCTAGCAGGCACCTTAAAGTGGGTGTCTTGAACATCAGGGACTAAACACAGAAACAGCAAAGGAGTAGCAAAAGTCCACATGGCACAATATACAATGTGGCGTGCAGGTTGGCGCAAAGCATTAACTATTTTCCCTGTTTGTTTTCTTTCACATGCTTTCCCATTTCTTTCTTCTTTCCTCTCCCATGTCTTCCCATTTTTCTTACTTAGGCTTATCTAGTTTTTCAGTTTTCCCCCTGATTAGCATTTCTTTCCCCCTTTTCACCCTCCTCTAAATCATGTTTTCTCCTTCCACAAACTCTTAACATTCATTATTACTGTGCCTCAAGAAGGCAAAGACTACCACATCCTAAACCCTCATTCTATTAAATCCAGTAAAAAAAGACTAAAGATGTGTCTGTAATTCTAATTTTTAGGTAAAGCCAGAATAATAAGGCAGCCCAAAGAAGGAAAATAGATTCCTGGTGCTGAGCTAGTCTAATTCTTCCTCTCCCAGCTACTAGGCGGTGCTAGCTGAAAACAGTTATTTGGTTCATCTCCACAATCTCCACGTACCTCTGCAGTGGAAGGAGGTTACATTCCTTCTTTCTGAACAACGTGTTGTGGAAAGTGGCACTTCAAATGCACTGTGTCTATAAGCAAGGCCAAATAGTGACATGGCAGATCCCAAGCCAGACCTGTCTCTTTGGACCTGAGTCCATCTCTCTCCTTTCTTGACTTTTAATTTCTTACCTTTCAAGGCTTCATTCTGCTCAGCCTTTCTATAGTGATCCCAAATGGTAGGCTTTTCTACGATGCCACAGTATTTTTCCTAGATGAAAAAGAACTAGACCAAAGACAGAGGTTGGAGAGGAAAAATCATATACAAAGCACTCAGTTTCCTTCCCACCCCACCTGCTTTTTTTTTTTTCCCCCATCTTCCTGTTCAATATTACAAATCAAGTTCTAAGCAGCCAGGCTCATTCCCTGTTTGTGAACCACAAACTGAAAATAAATGGGAGGGGAAACCCCAGAAAGGACCACATTTGTGAACCAGCAGTGAACTGCCCTGGAAAGGACATAGACAAGTGGCGAGGTGGTTAGAGCATCATTTGAATTTGAGACCCAAATTAAGTTTTCTCCTTGTGTGCCCTTTTCTCTCTTGTCTTTGGCCCTCCTTATTTTCCACCTCTTCTCTAATAATATCTCTTCCATTTTCCCTCACTCTTACTCCTCTTCCCCTCTGGCTCTCTCTTCTCATATCAAATTCTCTTCATTTCCTCAACCTTGAACCCCATCTGTCTGCCCCTTTCTCAGGGGGACTGCACACAGGACAAGTAAAAGAGAAAAAGTCACATTCAATGGGAAAACCTGTTGGATGACCTAAAGGTGAGTTTTTAATATGGTAAGTCTCTGTAGATTTAAATGATAGACATTGACACTCTCAGAAAACTGTAGTAAGTTGACTCTTAACATGAATATCATTATGTTTACTGTAGTAACAATGGAGGTGGAGTTTTAAATAAAGAGGTAGAACTGTGGAGGGCTTTGCTGTGGCTTCTTCTCTAGACTCTTCTCAGGGGCCAGTTGGCATCTCCAGCAGGAGGCAGAACAGAGGGGTCTATTAGTGGCACTGGAAGAGAATTACATGCTGCTACAACTACATGGGAGTTATTTCTCTCTTTATACTGGTGGTCCCGGGGATTGAACTCTGGTTGTCAGTCTTGCCAGCAAGCTCTTTTATCTGAGCCATCATGCCTGTACATAGATTTTTTACTTTTTTATGTTATGAAGAAAAGCTTCATCATAGTTTTGTTATTTTTATTTTTAGTATTATTTTTATCTTTAGTGGTTCTTGGGGATAAATCTAGGGCCTTATACATAAGTGCTCTATTACTGTTCTACATGCCAAGGTTTTAATTTTTTCATTTTAATATTATTTTTTAGACTTTTTATGTGTATGAGTGCTTTGTCTGCACTATGTACATGTCTTTGTAGGTTGGGTAAAGGCATCAAATTCCCTGGAACTAGAGCATAGTATAGCAGATAGTACTATGTACTGTATGGACAGTGGTGAGCCACCATGAGGGAGCTGGGAACCGAACCCAGGTTTTGTGTAATAGTAGTAAGTGCTCTTCACAGCTAGGCTATCTTTCCACTTCTAATTTTACCTTTTAACTGCTTGTTTGTATCAATTTTTAGTCTTACACTTAAAAGTAAAACCTTTCAGGACACTTCGTATATAAGTATATATTTTGTATTCAGACCTCTGAAATAAACTTACTTTTGTGCTTTTTGTCAGATCAGTACAAACTACTAAACTTAAAACAAAGTCCAACTCAGGAAAAGGGAATCTCTGCAAGAGGAAAACAGCAATATCTTTTTTATGTGGCAGAAATAAAGGCTACTACTAATCACTCAGTGCAAATCCATGCCAGTCTAGTTTCTAAATCCTATTTTAGATGTGGGTTTTTTCCTTGTTTGTGATATATATTTTAAAAGAAGCTAAAGAGCTATGCAAAATTATAAGTATTTATAAACTCAGCTTATGAGGCATCTTTGATTTGGGCTTGTTGGGAAAAGTTTCTCCTCTTTGTGATTTTACTTTCATCATTGTAATACCGGCCTCATTTTGCTTCCTGAATTGTTTTGGAGCTCACTGATGATGAGGATTGTGTTCTTTACATATTTGTGTTCTAGCTGAATACTTAGTGCTAAAGGAGTAGTTATTGAACCCATAATTTGGCAATACATTACTAAGTGACAATTTACTGAGTGTCATTTTCAAACAGATTTTTAAGAAACCCCATGTAAAGGAACCTATTGGGCTGGACATGTAGGTCAGTGGTAGAGCACTTGCCTGTCCTGGCATATGCGAGACCCTGACTGTAATGCCCAGTAACCCAAAAGCCAAAAAAAAGGAAAACCAGGAAGCTATAGATAGTCTCCACCTGAAGAACTGTTTGTATTTTTTAAAGTTGCTACTTAGGGGCTGGAGAGATAGCTGTGTGTGTCAGAGCACTTGTTGCTCTTGCAGAGGACCTGAGTTCAGTTCCTAGCACCACATAGCCACTAACAACCATCTGTAACTTCAGTACCAGAGGATCTGACACTCTCTTCTGGCCTCCATGGGCACCAGGCACACATACAGTATGCATATATAAATACATGCAAAACACTCCTACGCATTAAAAATAAAGTTACCACTTAATTATGCTTTAGAACCAGCTGGTCATTTTACAGCATGTTTTTCATGTAATATCTTAGTTGATGTGCACAGGAATCGATAGAATACTATTGTTTCCCCTGGTTATAGATGGTGAAATGAAGCTTGAAAGATATTTGCTCAAGGTATATGAATACCTAGCAAATGGTGGAAATAGCATTGAATATGAGAAGCCTGTAGCCAAGCTAAAAGAAAATTGTAACTCACAAGCTTACATATATTTCGATTTAAAAGTACTCCTCTAGAGTAAAATCCTTTGCCCATTCTCTTGGCTCGTAGCCCAGGGGATTTGCCCTCCTTACCTGCTGTTCTAAAGATGGAAAGAATGTCTTTCCCATCTCTACATCAGGGAAAAGATTCCGATGAAATCAAGAAGAGACCACTGCTGGGAAGTGTTAGAATTGGAAGGACACAGAAATGCTTTGCAACTTAGAAATGACTTTTGCCTTATAAACTGTTTCTTTGATATAGATTATCTGTGACAAACTAGGGAAACCACTCTTAAATATGACTGGTTATTACCACTAATAAGAGTCCTTCAGAAAGCTGGTATACAGGACCTTAGAAAATAATTCAGAAGATTCTTACTAAGACATTCTTATCAGATGACCAAAGAAAAATGAAAAGCATGTTCACAATATGCGTAAGTTTAAAACAATGCTCACAACACAAGTGATCATAGTGATTTGTTCATATTAGAAAAAAACTTGGAAACAACCCAATTACCCATCAACAGATGGGTAGTTAAACATATTGTGGTTATGTTCATACAGCAACACCACTTAGCAACCAAAAGAAACAAACTATTAATAAATGCTTCAACATAGCAATCACAGAAACATGTTGAATGAAAGAAGCCAGATAGTAAAATAATACACATGTGATTTAAAAGAAGGTTTGGAAAGATAATTTATAAGCTAGGTCAGTGGCTATCCCGGGCATGGCTGGTTAAGAAGGCAATGACTGCAGAGTGGTACAAAGGAATTTTTGGAAGACACGGAAACATCCTATCATTGAAGTGGCTTTATCTCCATGTAAATATTTGTCAATAAAAATATTTAAAAGTGGGCATGTTTTATTTCATATAAGTTACACCTTGACAAGTTGATTATTAGAGGATATATCACTAAAATAAACAATGAAGTTCTGTAGTTTGGATCTTGAAAGGTCACCAAAGGCCTATGCATTGAAGACTTGGGCCAAGGTTTTAGCATTGTTAGGAGGTAATCAACTTTCAGATAGTGGGGCTTAGTGGAAGAAACTTAGATCATTGAGGGTTGTGGTGGTTTGAATGAGAATTGTCCTCTGCCCTGTATTGGTTGATTGCTTGGCCCCAGTTGATAAAACTGTTTGGGAAAGACTAGGTGTGGACCTTTTGGAGAAGGTTGTTAGTAGGAGCTGGCTTGGAGGTTTCAAAAGTCCAAGTCATTCCCAATTAGCTCTCTCTTTCTCTCTCTCTCCCCCCGTCTCTCTACCCCTCTCTTCCTCCCTCCTGCTTGTTGCATTCAGATCAGATATAAGCCCTCAGCTACTGCTCCAGCAACATGCCTACCTATCTGCCTTCTACACTACTCCCTGTCATGTTGATCATGAACTCTAACCCCTTGGAACCATAAGCCCAATTAAATGCTTTCTTTTCTAAGTAGCCTTGATCATGGTGTTTGTCACAGCAATAGAAAAGTAACTAAGATAGGGGTGTGAGCTTCAAGAGCATATTATGACTCTATATTCCCTCCCTCCTTTTCTCTTTGCTTCTGGGCCACCATGAAATCAACAGTTACCTCACATGTTTTCTCAGCACTGCTTAAAAAAAAAACAAACAAAAAACTGCTGAAAGGAAAACTTGGGCTAAACTAACCTATTGAAGCTATCGAAAGACTGAAGATGAAGACAAAGGCAACTGAATTTTGAATTTTGGAGTTTAAATGCTTATTTGGACTTATGATACTTTTTGACAAAATGCCATATTAAAAAATGCTTAGCTATGGATGTAAAGTAATTTGGCATGGGAGTGTGCCATTCCTATATTACTCATGAGAAAGGAATGGGCAAGGATTTTCTGCAAGAATA